GCAGGTCCCATTTTATTTTAAGTGTTCTCTCTTTGTGGCCTGTGCTGCAGGTCTTTACCCCTCATGTTTGAAATTCTGCATGTTGAGAAGGGATGTAGCACAGTGTCAAGAGTTTTCCCCCTAGAAATTGCCTTTTTACTTATTTGTTCTGTTTAATCTAGGGATCAGAACATTTCTGTGTTGTATATTTGTGAGATTTTCTGATTGAGGAGGAAATAAAACAACCCTGTGTGAATGAGATGCTTTTGATGTGTTACAAGAGAGTGATGTGATTTTATTGCCCTTCAAGGTATAGTCCTAAAGCTCAAACTGTGTATGTGTGCTGCATCATTTGCCTCTGTCTCTGCTGTACATCATTTGCAATAACTATTTCCTTGCACTGTAACAAGCTTTCTGCTTTGCTTACCCTGAATAGCCCAAAGCAGCTTCAAGACAGTGAACAGCAGCTCTGCATTAACAACGTATGAATTAACACGTAAGTGCACACTGCCTTTAGATGAGACTCTTTGTAATGGTTTGAAATACACTATAGGCAAACTTTTATGGTTCCCCTCAGTGGATCTAGCAGAAATTAACTCAGATTAATGATTCTGCTTCCTCGAGTTCCCTTTTTCTTTAAGCCTTTGCTTTTCCTATGTCAGAAGACATTGATGATGCAAGTAGGTAGCTGTTGTAAAAATGTGGCTGCTGGGAAGGTGAAACATTATTGACTGTAACATCCCAGTATTACTGATGCTAAATGACTTTTGATTTGCTTCCTTCATATTTCGCAGTCCATCTGAGTTTAGTTGTATCACATCATTAGTCCTATGATTCAAGCATTGGGATGCTCAGGCGTTCCATGAGTATGAAGCCAGTTTAGAGAGGGGCCAATGAATTTATATGCATCTCCAGAGGTGTTTTCACTTGGAAATGAATAAAATAACATTCGACAGAGTTAAAAGGCAAGTTGCTTTGTGGTAATGATGGTTCACTAGATAGGTTTTGCCCAAGGCTTTTGAGTCACAGATTGTGATGGGCTAAAAAAACGAAGCCCTATCCCAACTGAAATTGCATGCATGAACTCTCAGATGTTCCATTTTCTTCCACATTGAGTTGGCACTAAAATTTCCCTTGTGGCTTTTGATGGCAGCAATTAAAGTTTCTCTGTACAAGTTGTCCAGTGCTGTAATCCCAATCAAGAAGTCTGTATCTTACATTTTGTAATTGTTTTATTCATGGGCTGGCAAAGAGTTAGTAATATATCAGGCATGATCTACTGTGTACCTGAAAGCAAGGAATGATGCTGGACTCTGTCAGATATATGGGCAGAACAATTGTAAACACTCCACGAAGCTGAAGCTAGAAGGACTTATATGATTAGCTGTATTGAACCTTACCAAACGAATGATATGCTGTCTGCTACAGAATTAGGGGTACAACGTGATTCATACATAGCAGAGAAAATTATTGGCAAAGGGAGAAATTTGGACCCCTGTCCATGCATGTCTAAATCAGTTCAGTGCTGATTTAAATACAGCAATTTATATTATTGATCTCTCTCGTACTCTAATTTCACTGTCAAATATTTTAGATGATAAATATTTCTGTTAGGATTGATTCTTTCATCCTGTAAATGCAAATCCTAAAGCTGCTCAGCCGTGGCCTCCCCTAATGACGTTTACATGATTCGACTCCACCCCTCTTTGCATCTATTACTTACCCGAATAGCATAGGGTTTTCCTGCTTTTTTCCACACTGCTCTCACTTTCCCATCTCATCTGTTGGTGCAGTTTCTGTATATCAGCAAATAAATTGGTTGCCTGGTGGCCAAATGGAGTCCAGATTTCAAATTCTCCTTTCTCTTTGTGAGTGATGTTCAAACTGTGATCGCTTTGAGGGAGAAAGATATGCGTTCAGTACTTCAAATGGGACTACGGACTCCCTGCTGCACATCTTCTGCACCCTGCTTCAGCAGTGACACTCTCAAGCCCTGCAGCTGCTAGATGACTCTCAGGATGAAGGTCTCTAGGATTAGGGAAAGGCTTGAAGCTATATTGCTTCCTACCAGTAGAGATCAAAATGAATCCACGTGTTGAATATTCAGAGCAAAGTCCTTCCTTTTTCTGCCAGCAAGAATGACCCAGAAATGTTCCTTTTGCTAGTTACCTATCAGAAATTGTCCCTCTTACAGGAACAACACAGTGAGGAACCAGCAGAAAATCTGGGCATTCTGTTGCAAAGATCTCTTGTAATTATGCAAATCCTGCTGTGATATGTGAATTAGGGAAGGATGGAAGTACTTAGCCATTGCACTGGTGCGCTGTCTATTGCTGTATTTGATGAGAGAGAAGTCTGGTGATAAAAAGGGGATGGAGTCTAAAAAATGTCTGCTTTCTAATGTAATTATTTACATTTTCAGAGTTGAAGAAATACAAGAGATATGAAGTTTTAATGACAGCATATAATGTAATTGGTGAGAGCCCTACCAGCACACCGGTGGAAGTCTTTGTGGGTGAAGCAGGTAGGTAAAAGGAAAATGAATCAATGTTTTTAAAAGTACTAGCATGTTTTAATATTCTTCAGGTATTGGGAAAAGGCTGATTTGAAAAATCTTCCAAGAATTATGATGTCTGAGAGTTTTTTGTAGTGTCCTCTGCTGGAAGAGGTTAGTTGGCACTGAGAGTCTCTTGCCATTTGAAAGCTGGTCCATCTACAAGCTGAGAATATGTGAAGAAAGTGCATTTAAAGGAAAGAAGAGAAAATGTTTTTGCAGTTTCAGAAAGATGACTGCTCATACCAAATGAGCTTGAGGGAAAAATTGACTCAAGTTAAAGAAGTAAAAAGTGGAGCATAGGAAAGCCACAAGGGAAAAGAAACAAACTGAACACAATGTCTTCTTGACTTCAACAGCATAAAAATATAGCAAGATGTGATGCACAGACACTATCTCTACTCAGAGAACTATAAAATAAAAGAACTAGCTTTCCAAATCTCCCTTGTTTTTTAGTTTTAATGTTAGTTTTGGAGCCACAGATCATTTGGCAGTACTCTCAAGAAAATGCAGACTCTTTTACCCCCCCCCATCCAGCCTCTCCTCAGAAGTTGTTGTTCTGTGGCACTATTCTTGCTGTTATTTATTATAGATCTAGAGTATGAATCCAGGTTGTATTTATGAGGTGTAACTTGCTAATCAATTTAAAATCCCTGCACTGGAAGGCTGGAGGCAGCAGAAATCAGGAGAAGACAGTTAACTAGGTGCTGCTTTGAATGCTTGGTGAAATAGGTTATTTTGCACAGCCCACATAACCCAGAGCTGACTCTGTTCTCAGTATCTCTTGTTGAGAAGTGCAGGATTAGAATAGCTGATGTCTTCCTGGCAGCCACGATGACTGTGCCGTATTTGTGGTGGCCCCAGCTGGAGAAAGACTGGCGCTGAAATATTTGTTAGTTATAGTATCAAAAGCTGTAGCAACTTCTTTTAGAGCTTAAAATAAGAATAGCGACACAAACACTCCTGCTGATCAGTCTACTAGCCTGAACAAATCTGGTTGCACTTTTGTTCTTCTGTCTCAAGGCTAAAATGCAGAATTTAGTTTTCAAGCTTAGCACTAATTCATTTTATTAGTGTTCATTATATACCCTGATGCTCCAAACTAGGAAAAGCACATTTTTTTAAACTCTGCTTCAGCTTTTCATGGGGTAGCATTCACTCTCTTTTTATGAAAAAGTCATAAATTAATCAGAGCAGCATGGTTCTTGGGAAACAGTTGGCAATATTTACATTTTTTCTACTTTGCTGCTGCTCCAGCTTCTTCCTGTAACAACTGCAAAGAAAGCCCCAAGTGGACTCAGCTGTATCTGCCTTCAAAATGTGTTTTTGTTTCAGAATTAAATATCTCACTGCTGCAAATGGAGCCAGCAAAGACATTTATATACATGTACGCAGCAAATAAATTCAACTGGGAAAACAAGAAAATGTTGTTATATCATGTCTTTAAACCCCACAGCCCAAATCTTCCTTATTGTAATTCAGACAAGGAACAGGGGAATGGAAGGGGCAAACTCGGGAGGAAGCTCAGATATCTGAGAGGCCTTCTTTCACCAGCAGTCAGGACTGGCATTTCTCAAGTTGTAGCATGACTCAGAGGGTTTTTTAGAGATCATGGATTTAACTCTGCTTAGGGACAATTCAGGTTCATGCTGTAGAAAAGATGAACGTAGGATCTTCCTGCAGATTTTCACACCTGTTGTGTGAAGTTATTATGCTTTGTTATATAACTGCTGCTTCCACCTCCAGAACTGGCTGTGTATTAGACCATGAGTAAAGTGATCGGAGCTGGTATTGCAATTTAAGTTTTTAAATTAATTTATGACACCTTTGAGTTAAAGTGTGCTGTGGAAATACAAGTCTTTTTGATATTGTTTGCCTGATGTTCTTACCCATGGTAAAGGCAGTTAAGCAGCAAGCTGGGAAAAACAGGTCTGCTTAACTTTGGTAATGGGACAGCCATGTAAAAAGTAGAGAAAACCTTCTGAATAAGCAAAAATGTTGACGACTTGGCCATAGCACTGCTAGGGAGAAATACCACTAAACACAAGGTGACTGAAGGGGACCAGTCCCGGCTCTGAAGGCCCCAAATAATTTACTTTTGAGTACTGTTAAATGATGTTTCATTCTGCTGTAGGGGTTGTGGTAATTCTGGCAGATCTACAGAGATTCCTCTATTGTAAAAGAGAATATACAGCGTGTGCCCTTGGGGGAACGTGCCCTTTGCAAGCAAGATTCCAGCAGGTCCAGGTGGGCGTTGTGTCCTGCAGCATGGGGCACAGTAAAATAGGAATAGCCGATGTGCTGTTCAGAATGAGTACACTAAAACACCCAGCTTTTACATCTGGTGCAGCAAGATAAACTGTGCAGAAGGAGGAATATCTGTAAATCTTCCTTTCTCTCTTGTGCTCTCCCCTGTTAGATTTGAAGCTTTTCCTATCACTGTATCTGGATCCTTCAGCTGAAGCTTTTTTAAAAAGCCTGAGTAGGCAGTGGAACCCCCTGACAAACTTTAAAGAATATAGCATTAAAAACAACCTTCTGGCTGTTTTGCTGATCAAACAAAAAGACCCAGACCAGAATGTTTCTCTGAGAACTTGCAGCTTGGCCGTATCCATCCTGTGTCCTCCTCGGGTAGTCTTGATGCTCTGCTCCCCTTTGGCTGAGGGGCAGGGAGAGATTTTGAGATCTCTGAGAGAACTACCCGCTGGCAGACAACATGCCAGGCATGAACAACTGGACTCTGCATCCTGATTTCCTGGGTGAATAAAGGGGCTAGGTGCAAGTGGTTGGTTTCTTTTTGCTGCAGGTGGAGCAAAGCTTTTTTTCATTGCAGTAGTGTTCTCCCATAAGATCAAAGGGTCTGGTGAAGGCTCTGCTTTGATTTCTGTCCGGGTGCTTGCAAACCCCATTCACCTGAGCAGCAATTATTGCCCATGCTGGGAGAGCGGGCTGGGACTCTTTGTGGAGCGCGCGAAACAGAGCCGTGCTCTGTGCCAGGGAGGCTGCTCTGTCATTTTGCTGCGAGCAGAGGTAAGCCGGTGTTGTCATCCCCCACCTGCTTCCTCGGCAGACTAGAAAATCCTTGTAACGTTGCCTGTTTCGATCTGGCTACAGCTCTGCCCTGCTCATTAGAGAACCATGTGCATCTCCTGACAAATGACAGAAAAATTGAAAGCCGCCACTTGCAGAAATTAGGAAGGGAGTCACAGCCCCTTCGGCAAGCCCTCTACTCGCCTTGTTAATTCATTTAACAGTTCAGCTGTCAGGGAATGCAGCTTTGATTGGAAAGGCAGTGAATGTTCAGTGAGAGTCGGGATACTGATATTCATCCTAGTCCTAACCAGCTGCTGCCAGAGGTGGTGTTCTGCTTGACTGAAATTAGGACTCCGTTAGAGCCGCTGCTATATCAAGAGCATTATTTTACCAGGTTGCTATCATTATCTGATTGTGCAGTGGGCTCTGGAGCTCAGGAGACTCTGCTACCTGCATTTTAATTAAACAGAAATCACAGGTTTGGGGCAGGCATGCTTCACCTAATTTCAGAAGGTGAATAAAATGGAAGGTGGTAATACAAATCCTGTGCTAACGAGCCTGCAGCCTCCAGTGCTTCTCCCGTATACTGCAAAGCTGTTCTGGATGAAAAATAATGGAATTCATAATTTCTTCCAGCTGCTGCTGGAGGGACAGTGTGTGTATGCAGAGAGGAGGTAACAGAACGGGGGAAGCACATCGAGAGACACTTGTCTTTCAACAGGTGATAAATCTATTTGCATGAAGAGGGGAGTGATGGGTGACATTATAACTGATGATGATGTTGGTGACCTTCAGAATTCACAAGAACTGATGAGGCTGAGTTTTTTTGGGTTGTTGTTGTTGTTGTTCTTCTTCTTCTTTTTAATAATAATCTATCACAGCTATTTCTGTAATGGGAAGGGAAGGAGCAAAAAGCTGGGTGACGGAGTCACTTCTTAGAAGTCCTGCACTGAAATGCTGCACTGGACGTAACATCACCTTTTGGAAAAGCAAGTTTCCTGTCCGCACCACTTTCATCAATGCAAAACTGTAGGTTAGACAGGAGCAGGAGTGGGACAAAGAGACAATTGCTTCTTTCCTTTGTTCTCCTCCCCCCTTCAAAAACTTGAAGTTATCCCTTCTTGCAAAGCTTACAGAAGCCAAAGCAAATATCCTTGTTCTCACTTTTTTCTGCAATTATTTTCATCTGCCCTCCTGCTCGCTGCACCACAGGTGTCCCTAGAGTTCCAAAACCCTTTTCTTTTGCCAGGAGCTGCCTGCTAACCTGCACCGGAAGGGTGGGTGGGAGGCTCTGCTCTGCCAGTTACATCGGGAGGAGCACTCAGAGCTGCCTGGGTATCTTCAGCATTTTGCAGGCTGAATCCACCTGGAAAGCTCCAAGACCAAAAATAGCAGTTTAGAGCTGGGAAAGAGAGAATAAAACATGGGGCTGAACATCTGCATGAGGAAGGAGAAGTCATGCTAAGGAAAAAGGAGCAGGTAGCAGCCTTATAGGAAAGCAAAGACTGGAGTCTAGACACCTGACTCCCCTTTATGAGCTGCTTCTAGCAAAACGCTCTTGTCCCTTCTCACCTGGTTATTTGTGCTCAGGTCATGCCCTTTGGTGTCTCCTGCTAATGCTGGAGAAGGTTGTCAGTATAAGGCTGCTTTGCCCTTCACTATTTTCGTCTCTTTATACAGGCCTCATTCTTTTCATATGTTCATCCAAAATATCCTACACGGTGTCATCTCCCCTTTCTAGCTTGCCTTCTGGAGAAGGGAGTCCCTTGTCACCACCTCGGGTGCCCCTTTCTTCTATAGCATAGCAGCTTTATCTCCTTCTCTGCCCAGAAAATAGCTGAGAAGATGCCACGGAGAGAAGTCCCCTGTGCCTCCTTGTTAACAGCGTGCAAGAGGAATGACAACATTTCAACGCATGAGAGCTGGCAGCTTCAGTC